AACAAGCAAACATGTCTTGCGCTACTTACTTTGATCCACATAGGATGCACAACATACGTGCTGGAAACACATCATTTGGGGCCCATTCTGGCTAACATGTCGCTCTCGCCCCGGCGCGTCGCTCATTTTCCCATGGAGTGGAGCTCCCGCGTCGACGCACGAGCGGACGAAGATGTCGTTCTCGGTTAGGCGCCGCGCAGGCTTCGCCTCGAAGTGGCGCCCCCGCAAGAGAGCGGCGCATACTTGTCGCTCGCTAAATCTGGGGGGGCCCGCGCAAGCGGGTGGCTTGTCGCTCTCGCCAAAGCTACGCGCGCATTTCGTTTGGAAGTGGCGTTCCCGCGCAGGCGCGGCGCATGCTTCGTTCGCCGGACTTCATGATAGCTGCAGCTGCAGCGGGGCCACGCGAGAGCGGGCGAACAGTTGCTTTCGCCCAAGCGCCGCGCCCTTTGTGTGTGAAATTGGGAATGCTGTGTCGGCGCGGCGCATGTTTCGTGTTCGTCGCGCTCATCGAAACTGTTGCCTTTCCTGCCCCTTTGCGCGGCCCCCATTGTTTTTTGTTCTCCAAGTCGCCGGAAGCGGGACCGCGCGCGAACGCCTTCGGTTTGCTGGGTGGGAACGTGTTCCAGTTCTAATATCTATGTGTGCGGCAGTTCGCCGTTATGCTGCGGGAGGAAGGATGGGAATGGGCGCGGCCCGCTGACTCGTCCGACCTGGCTATTTTGGCACGCGCCGTACGCCGCCGCCCCGCCGCCCGCCCAGTACACAGTAGGCGCGCGCACTGCGCGCCGCTTCCCCCTGTCCGCCCGGTATACAGTCTTCGCGCGCACTGTGCGCCCCTCCCCGCCCGCTACTACACATTCGGCGCGGTCACCGAAACGCCCCCGATGATACCCCCGCCTTGCACACGCGCACACACCAAACACACGCACGCGCGCGCTTGCACGCACACGCGCACATAGACAGACAAATACACGCACACACACACACACACACACACACACACACACGTCACACACATGCACACACACACGCACACGCACGCACGCACGCACGCACGCACACACACACACACACACACACACACACACGCGCATTTATCATACAGATAAGCGCGCACGCACGCACGCACGCACGCGCACACATACACACAGACACACACACACACACACGTACACACACGTGCACACACCCAAACACACACGTACACACAAACACGCACACACACAAGCACACAGGCACACGCGCGCGCGGGCGCGGGCGCGCGCGCGCACGTTGTCAGGCGTCGCGGCCACGCTCGCGGCGACGTGGCGTAGGCAGGTGAACGGGAAAACGCGCGCCACTGGGTCTAACCACGCGGCCGCACACACGCACACACACACACAAACATTCTCCCACACACATGCGCACCACACGCGCGCGCGCGCTCACACACGCACACACAAACACACACACACACACGCACGCACGCACGCACGCACACGTACACACACATGCACGCACACACTTTCGCATACATGCGCGGACGCACACACGCACGTACGTTCACCAGCATGCACAATCGCATGGTATGATCCCAGCACAGTTTTACAAACAAGGCACTTCTTCCCAGAGTTTTCCTCGAAACTGGAGATCGTGTATGAGATGTGTTGCAGTGCGGTGCCGCATACACCTACCTGTTTCGCTCGAGAATTTCCCAACACAGCAGATGCTTGACGGTTTGTGCGACGACGTTTCATTCCATACAAATATGCGTTTCGCTGGAGGCATCCTCGACATTTGATCTGTTCGAGGAGCTGTGCAACAAGGAACTGATTTGAACCATGATGTCATCGCAAGGGACGTGCAATACGGCTTTTGATACGTCACCATGTAACACACGTCACACACGTCACACAACACATAAGGCAGACCAAACAGCACATCACACAGGGCAACCAACACGCAGTCATTGGAGCCTCTGGGGGACTCTTGGGACCATCTTGGGGCGGAAAGCTCGACATGTTCGTTTGTGTTCCGCCCTTTGGGCCACTGCTGTGGCCCCCATTGAAGGCCTCGTGTGCCCTGGTGTAGGTCTCTTTGGCCGAATTGGGGCCTTTTGGGAAGTCTTGGGGCCCTCTTGAGGGCCCTTTGGGCAATCCGGGGGCACTCGTGGGGGCTTTTCGGGCCGTCTTGGAGCGTTGAAAGCTGGCAAAGGGTAGAGGGCTAGCACCTTTCGAACACCGAGGGACAGTCTATGATTTTGGTTTCTTAGGGCCCTCTTGGGGACCCTCTTGAAGTGCTCTTCAGCCGTCTTGGGGCCATCCTGGGCGTTTTGGAACGCTCCCTCGCAGGTCTGCAGGGCTGCACGAACCTTGGGGCACTCCACTACGTGCTGAAGGCATGACGGCGGAATCAGTAACGATGTAAGAGCGCGAGGTTTACTTCGTATATCGAACGTGCGCAGACGTTGCCCTCGAGTGAGATTGAACAGAAATATGTACACTTCGCATCAGGTTATAGTGAATGGTAATTTCCATACCAGTACGAATAACATTACTAGCATTGCTACTATTAGTATCACGACTACTACTACTACTACTACTACTACTACTACTACTACTACTACTACTACTACTACGACGACTACTACTACTACTACTACGTGACTACTACTACTACTACTACTACTACTACTACTACTACTACTACGACTACTACTACTACTACTACTACTACTACTACGACTACTACTACTACTACTATCACTACTACTAATACTAACGAATAACTCCTTATACTACTGCCTACTACTAACTACTAATACTACTATTACTACTAATACTACTAAACTACTACCACTACTACTACTTACTACTACTACTACTACTACTTACTACTACTGCTGCTGCTGCTTGCTGCTGCTGCTACTGCTACTACTACTACTACTACTACTACTACTACTACTACTGTTACCACTACTACTACTACTACTACCACCACCACTACTACTACGACTACTACTGTTACTACGATTACTACTACTCTACTGCTACTACTTTTTCGATGTCTGCTACGACTACGGTCTCTACGACGACCACTGCAACTACTACTACCACAAATACGACCACTTCTACGACTACTGCTACTACTACTACTACTACTACTAGTACTAGTACTGGTACTAGTACTACTTCTATTACGACTACTACTGATACTACGACCGCTACTACTAGTAATAGTATCACTACACTACTACTACTACTACTACTACTACTACTACTACTGCATTAACACCGATTAGACTATACTTACTACTACTACTCCGACTACTTATGCTGCTACTATACTTACTTACTACTTGAGTTCAACTAGACGACTACTACGACTACTTGTAAAGACTGATAACTACTAACTTTACTTGCTTTGTGTACTTACTACTACTCCTTACTTGCGACTACGACTACGACTACGACTAACTACTACACTACTCCTACTACTTACTACTACTACTACTACTTACCACCAACTACTATTACTACTACTACTATAATACTACTAACCACATAATTAGTAATACTGACTAGGTTATTACTAGCCCGAGTTATGACTACTACCACTACTACTACTACTAAACTACTACTTTTGTACTACTACTACTACTATACGGCTAACGATACTACTACGGCTACTACGACTATACTATACTAATACTACTACTACTACTAGTACTTAGTACTTACTACTACTACACCACTACTGCTGGCGTTGTGTACTACTCCACTGCCACTAAGACTGCGCTGACTACTACTATATACTATACTACTACTACTACTACTACGACTACGACTACTACTACTACCACTACTTACTACACTACTACGACTACTAATTACTACTACTACTACACTAACTACTACTATACATCCTATTACGACTACTAATACTGCAGCTACTATTGCTTTTTTTTTTTTTTTCTCTTCGTGTTTTTTACTACGACTTACTACTACTACTACTACTACTACTAGCGACAGCGACGCGTTACTACTACTTACTAATTACTACTATCACTACTACCCGACGACTTGAACTACTACTACTACTACTACTACTACTACTACTACTACTACTACTACTACTACTACTACTACTACTACTACTACTACTACTACTACTACTACTACTACTACTACTACTACTACTACTACTACTACTACTACTACTACTACTACTACTACGACTGCGACTGCGACTGCGACTACGACTACTACGGCTACGACGACGACTACTACTACTACTACTACTACTCCTGCCAACCATAACATTTATTACACCTGAGTAAACCCAATCAAGGGCTATTTGGAAATAGATACTACGGATCTTGAGATCGATCGTGAGATCGATAATGAGATCGTTAGTGGAATCGATAGTGAGGACAATCGTGAGATAGAGAGTGACATCGATTCAATTAGATCGATAGTGAGATCGACCGCGAGATCGCTCACTCGATCTCTAGTAGGATCGCTTGTGATATGGATAGTGAGATCAATTGTGAGATCGATGGTGAGATCGATCGAGAAGTCGTAATGAGATCGATGGTGAGACCGATCGATAAGAAGATCGACCATGAATCCGGGAACCCTGAAACCTCGCCGCCTCCGAAATCGGCTTGGAACCCAGAAACGGGAACCCGGAAACCCGGGAACCCAGCCTGCCACCAAAATCGGCGGGGATTTTTCGCCAAATCCTTCAACATCCGCTAGAACCCATTTATAAAAGCAGAGATGTTGCACATTGCGCTTCTTCTTTTAAGGATTCGCTCGATGAGTATTTTCTGTTCGAAGTCAATAACATTCCGTAAGACTCGATTGTGTCCCATATTGTAATATTTTCCGCTGTCAGTGGTTTGGTGAGGGCTGCGAGCAAATATCGAGCAGTATCCAGCCCATCCCCGCCACAGTGCCCAGGTTGTGGGTCAAGGCGTAACGATGCTTGAAGGCCTGAACGCACTCCCACTATGGGGAGTTCCGCAGCCGTTTCGACTCGAGTGCCAGGGACACCCTTGGCAAGCTCAGAACTCCCCCGCCAGCGGACCGTCAGGCAGAACTTGTCCGCCCACGATGGCCGTGCGCTCCCGTGTGCTCACTCTGGCTGTCCTCTGCGCTGCCGCCGCCCTGCTGGCAGCCCCTCCTCCTCCTCCTCGGCTCCTCTTCGGCTCCTCCTCCTCTTCCTCCTCCTCCTCCTCTTGGCGCCCTCCTGGCGTCCTCCTCTCCTCATCCTCGCTTCCTCCTCTTCCTCCTCGTCAGTCTCCCCCCTCTCCTTTCCCATCGCATCCTCCCCCCTCCGACCCCCGTCCTCCCCCTCTTCGCGCCCTCCGAGGCGACGGCGGCGACCAGCTTCGTCCCTGCGCCGGCGGTGTCCGGGGCCCTCCGCGGGGCGGGCGCGAGCCAGGCGGTGGCGGCGGCCGGCGCGGCCATGGTGGCGATGCCCTCGGCCGCACACGCCGCCAAAGCGGTGGACCCCATCGAGGTCGTCCTGAAGCTGGTGCGCCTCGCTCCCTCCCTCCGTCTCCTCCTCCGATGCGCCTCCCTCGCTCCTCCCTCATCCTCCCTCTCCTCTTCCTGCTCCTTCCTCTTCCCTTTCCCTGCTCCCCCTCCTCCCTCTCCTCGTCATCCTCCTGCTCCTCATCCCCTGATCCCCTCATCCTCCTCATGCCCTCCTCCTCCTGCTCCTCCATCTCCTCCTCCTCCTCCTCCTCCTCCTCCTCCTCCATCCCTCTTCCTTATGCATAATTCCCTGTCTCACCCAAAGACGTGTCGATAGGGTGGGCCAAACGTTGCGATGGAGATGTCTTCACCGTTTCTTATCATGAAGCTTGAAACATAGAACAGTGTCATGGATGCAGGGCGGGCCAGTTTCTAAAAGGCGGCTCTCGCCTTAGCGCCGCGCTCGTTGTAAGGTTGCAGCAGTTTCAAGTCTGGGTGGCGGGCCGGTTTCAACTTGAGGCTCTCGCTCCAGCGCCGTGCGCATTCGCCTTAAAAGTTTGCATCGGTTTCAAGGCTGCGGGGCGGGTGCTTTTGTCCAAATGTGGTTCTTGCTGGAGCACCGCGCACATTTCGTCTCAAAACTTTCACGTATGGAGGGCAGGCCTTTTTCAAAATGTGGTTCTCGCGTTAGGGCCGCGCACATACGCTTTCAAAGTCTGAACAGTTTGAAGGATTTGCGTGGTTGACTTTTTAGGACTGCTGTTCTCGCCCGATTCAGGACTGTCAGGACGCAAATGTCACGTTGATCTGAGGTGTTGGTTCCCAGGGACGGTGTTCTGGCACGACTTAAGATTGTCAGGGCGCAACAGCCACGTTGATTCGCGATATTTGCGTCCCAGAAATTTCGTTGCGGCATAGGGGATTATCAGACGCTTGTCTTCCCGTGGGACATTTCCCGCAATGGTGATGCATTCGTGTAGGGATTCATGAAGAGGGAACTCGGAGGGAGGGCTTATTGTAACATCGTTGGTGCGTCTTGGGTTTGCACTCATCCTCTTCCTCCTCCTCCTTCTCCTTCTCGCGCGCGCCCCAACGCGTACGCTCGCCCCCCCCCCCCCCGCGCGAGCGTTGTTGGTGGGAGGCAGCCTCTTGGTCTTTCTGCGTTCCCTGCCCCCCCCCATTGTCCGCGCATGCGCCTCGTGCCATAATTTCTCCCCTCTTCGGCGCACGACGCCACTGCAAACTACCCCGATGCGGTAGGTTTGTGTCGTGCCGACGCGGTAGCGCAGTGGCCTGAAGCTGTCCAGTGGAACGGCCTGGCGATCGCAAAGCCCGCCGATCGATCAAGGTTTGGACGATCCACGCGGTGTCGGGAGCCAGCGCCGGGGTCGTCACGACGCGAGCCTGCCGTACAGCCGAGGGCTTGAGCCGTTCCTCGGACCCAGGTCGGGGAGCCCGTTCGTGCCGACGCCCGCCGCGGCCAGGAGAGCCCTTTCGTCATTCAATGCTGCGTTCCTTGAGTTACTCGGCATCGCTGGGACGTATGCGTGTTTCCCTCTGCGAGGACCATCGCGTAACATGTTGGGTCATCTTGCGGAAAACAGATGCCGCAAACCGAAGCATGCACAGGGAATGGACGTCCGAGCGATGGATGGGCACGACGACTGTACGGGCGTCTGGGGCTCTCGGCACTTGTCCCGCGTCCCCGTAGTGGGTCTTGGCCGTGCGTACAGGGGGGACGTCCACTTGTGCGCCGATCCTGGCGGGCCCGGGGCCGACCTGGGTGGGTGCGTTGGCGTCCTCCGACATCCGCGCGCTCCCCCTTGCCCCAACCACATTAAAGAAGACCCCTCCTCCCACTCCACATCATCCTGCTCATCCTCCGGCTTCTCCTCCGACTCCTGCTCCTGCTCCTGTTCCTCCTGCTGTTCCTCCTCCTCCACAGTTACAGCTGCCATGACAGCCCAAGGCACATTCACAGCAGCGCTCATGAATTCCACCAGGGGACCCGTCTGGCCATCCGCCGACCACCGCGCCAGACAACGGCGGCCTGCTGGCGGATGACCCTCCGCGTGCCTGGATTCAAGCCCCATCCATGCATCTGGGTCGCGTATGGAAGAAATCATCCGAGCTTGCCCCAACATGGACGTCATAGCATTGGCCAGGACCAGATCGAACCATCGACAGAGCGAGCAGATCCTGTGCAGACGCATTCTTGGACGTCAGGCTCTCGAGGCTGAGGCCACAGAAGGCCCATACACCAATCGATCGACAGGTTGCGCAGCGATACTTCATCTTTCTTTCTCCCAGAATCATATTCGCAGACTATGGGCGAACCCCCCCAGGGACGCACTGACGTGCGATGGCCGTGCGATTCCAGCGAGGCGCACTCGACATCAGGATCATCGTGCTAACTGAATTTTCCGACAGCCGAAGTACGCGAAGGAGGCGCCGAACTACCTCCAGACCGTGAAGATATTGACGAATTGGTGCGATGAAGTATTGTCGGCGATGCCATTCAGGAGTACACCGATACATTGTACACCGGCCTCAACGACGGGCAAGGCATCAGCCGCGCCACAGGCACCTGGATTCGAGCGGACACTACTGCTGCGGGCGAAGGCCGCACCTGAGAACATGGACGACATGGGCCATGTGAGCGATTACGTATGTTCAACGAGCAGCACCACATCTTGGCAATGAGTACGAGATCGGCTGGTCTTCAACCTACTTATGTTGGGTCTTCAGGCGGTCAGAGCTGGATTGGCCTCACATGTGCACCATTGGGACTGTCTGTGTCAGATTTTGGTGCCACCCACGCCACAAAGTGGGCATATCGAGGCGGCCGAGCTGACGGGGACCGCGCCGTCACTGCTGACTAGAGCCCGTGCCTGTCACAAGCATGTTGGCTCCCTTGGCTACCCAGGCAAGGATATCCACCGGCTCACGCGCGCCACTGCCTTCGGCGAGCTCGTGAACGGCGCGGAGGGCATCCGTCGCCCCCCCGAGGGCTACCTGGCGGAGATGGCCGGCCTCACGTTCTGGGTGCCGGGCAAGCGTCGTGCAAACAGGGAGCTCATGCAGATCTTGTTTGGCCGCTGGGTCGGGGCCTGCTGATTCCGCCGCCCACTCGCGTCGAGCTTTGCTCACGCGTCTCGCTGGCTCGTGGGCGCGCGGACGGGAGACCGCATCAGTCTGGGCGTTGCAGAGGACCTGCTCCTCTCCTCAGCGTTCTCTGCCCTGTGCGTGCTGGACCTCAGGCTGATGGTCGGCCGCTTCGCCACGGCCTCAGGCGCTGCCGCCGTCCGCGTGGCGAGGCGCGCCTACCCGAGTGCAATCCACCTCGGCGACGCGAGCACCGCCTACCCGCGCGACCTTGCCAAGCGCATGGGGGAGCGGGGCCGCATGTCAAGCGCGCGCTGCGCTCAGCGATGGCCACCAGGGCCTGGCAGACCCTCGCGCTGGCCTGGCGCGGCGCCTGGAGCGCATCGCCGACGGCCTCGCGGTGGAGCTCCCCGAGGCTCGCATCGACTTCCTGGCCGAGAATGTCGCGTCGATGAGGGAGCGCGACGCGATGGTCCTCATTGGGTGATTTGAGAGTATCCCCTACTTGATCGAGGCTGGTGACATCGGCTGGGTCATGCGCCCCAGGCTCTCGTGGTGCCCGTGGGACCTGCTGCCGAGTCACGAATGTCGAAGCTGGCGGAGGGCGCCCGGCGGGCTTGGCGGGTTCGGCCCCGCCGCCAACGTCGGCCTCTGCAGGAGTGGCTGCCAGCTGGCACTCGCTGTCCTGGACCTGATGGAGGCGAGCCCATGCCCACTTTCGCGCGATGGATTCTGATGGGGGCAGCCGAGGCCGCGGGCCGCGGGCATCGCGGAGTGCAGCGAGGGTGAGCGGGGGCTCTGGGCCGACGCGGGCCACGTGGCGCCGCCGCACCAGTTCCGAGACAAGCGGCGCTTGCATCCACGCGGACAGACCGCGTCGCCCCCCGCCTGGGTGCGCGAGCAGCTCATGGGCTTCTCCGAGGGGCACGCCGCCCCGCGCGTGCCGAGCGGCGCCGTCGAGGAGGAGCCCGACAAGTACGAGGCCCTGCGCGGGTCATTGGTCGGGAACTCTTTCTCTCGTTGCGAGGCAGCGGTCTGGTTCGCGCGCAATTGGGCGGCGGTTGCAGCGCCGCCGCCGCAGGCCGCCCCCTCGCGCGCGGAGCCGCGCGAGAGAGCCCCCGCCTGGGCTGGCGGGCGCCGCCTGTGGGCAGGGGGCCTCGCCTGGCTGCGGCGCGGGCGCCCCCCCCCCCCCCCCCCCCACACCACCACCACCACACACACCTGCGTCACCTCGGGGAGCTGGGCCAGCCCAGCGGCCCCGCGTGCGTCGGTCGGGGGCGGCAGGGCCTCGGCGCCCCTGGCTCGACCGGGGGGAAACCCCTTCCACGTGGCCAGGGGGCGCGCCCGCGAGGAGGCCGCGGCGCCGTGGGGCCGCGGCGCTCGCAGCCCCAACTTCTCTAGTTCCTGGGCGAGCGCGCGGGCCGACGGCTGCTGTGCCACTGCGGGCCTGGCGAGGCCTGTCGCGCGGACGTCCTCCTCGCTGAGCTGGGCGAGGGCGACCAGGTCGAGTGGCGAGATGATGACGCGTCTCGCCGCCTGGTCATGGGGCTGGTGACGGCATGCCACCTTAACAGAGCCGACCTCGACCTCGGGACCGACGGGGGCTCCGAGGTGCCGGGGGAAGCCCCCCTCGATGCAGGCGCGCGGCAGCGGCGCAAGGCGAGGCGAGCAGTCTGGGAGAATGCAGAACGCATTAACTCCCAGGCATCATATGGCGTTGGGTTCTCGTTTTGAAATGACGGCCCCCGCGTTCTCGTCCTCCTCCTCCTCCAGGGCTCAGGCCGCTGGATACTCGTGCGACGGGTTTTGCCCGAAGTGCGGGATGCCCGGCAGAGTGCGGCACAGCGTTTGGCAGTGCCTTCATCCTGACACCGTCGCCGCTCGTAAAAGTGTCACGGATGATTCTCCCGTTGAATGGCTGGACGAAGCTCTTGAAAGTCAGGGCCGTTTGTTCTTTGA